CGTAATAATATAGTGGTTAATTAACTGTACATAAAAAAAGCTTTACATCATTCTTAATATAAACTTGCAAGGGTCTTTTAAAAGTTTCGTCAAACATATCAATGCTTTATATCATTCTTAATAACACTTTAATTATTTTAATTTTTTGTGAAAAACACAAGAAAAAAATAGAATGCCAATAACGTTACATATTTTTTCTTCTCTCTCTATACTTTTTTTTTGCTCTTGCCGCTAAAGAAATAGATAGTGGCATAAATGAATTTGAATGCAGTTTTTTTTTAATATATACTCCCTCCATCCCACTTTGATAGTTTTGTTTTCTTTTTTCGTTTGTTCTAAATTGTAGTCCACTTTCCAATTAAAGAATGTAGTTGTATTTTAATTTTTCTAAAATACTCTTATTTAATGTAAGTTGTTGTTACTATAAACCTACCATATTTAATGAGAGTTAATTCTTTTTTTACCATCAATTTAAGTTCCCATAAAATTGTACCCTATTTAATGCGAAGCTATTTTAGAAAAATAGCAATCTAAATTTACTTTTTTAATAAAATTAATTACTTTTTTTTAAACTACGTGAAAAAAAGAATAGGACTGTTAAAGTGGAACGGAGGGAGTATATATATATATATATAATGACAACAATCTATCTACATTGTGAGGGAGGAGGAGTCCAACTTAATAGCTCTGTTTTCAAACTCGGACCGGACCGGCCGGTCGAACCGGTCGAACCGGGAACCGGCCAGGTAGCCGGTCCGAGTCAACTTAGAAAACCGGAAATTTTAAAACTCGGTCAAAGCCGGTCAAAATCCGGGTTTGACCGGGTTTGACCGGGAAAAACCCGGTTTTTCCGGTTCAACAGTAATTTTTTAAAAAAAAAATTCAAACTTTATAATATTATGTTTTGGCCCCCTAAATTGTTAAAACTTATTCGTATACCTCAAATATTTGATACTTTATAAATATTGTCCTACAATTTGATGTTATTTTTCAATTAAATTCATAATTTTAATTCTAAACTTGTTAATATTTATTAAATAATATAAATTGCTACTTGATTGTTCTAATTTCTTTGTATTTTCTTGTTAAATATATTTGAAACATCAAATATGTATGAATATACCTTTATTAATATCAATATATTATTAGATATGATATATATAATATTTTAATTTTTAAATAATTTTTATTTATGACGTCATCCGGTTCGACCCCTATCGACCCCCGGTCGAACCCATTGACCCCTGACCCCTGACCTTGGCCGAGTCGCTATCCGGTCCGGTTCTGAAAACATAGCTTAATAGTTCATGGGAATTAGGATCTAGTGCACAAAGAGCTTTAAAAAAAAAAAATTCTCAGGTGCAATGATTGCATTTGAATTTCTCATTTTTTGGTACGGAGTATGCAGTAATCGTGTCTTGTTGGTTGGTGCACACCTCGAACCTTAACTACTTGAATGACCCAAAGGCCAAAGCCAGCCCTCAGTCTCCTCCCGTCTCGCTCAATCATGCTCGTCGAGTGGAGTCTACGACTCCTCAGGCAGGCAGCTGAACAAATTACTGTAACCCTCCCAAAAGCCAAAGGTCGATTAATCCAAAGACAATTTTGCACGCCGACGTCAAAAATATCAAAAGTTTCTTCTTTTTCAGCGGTGCTGAATTATTCTGATGGGATGACTGGGCCCGGTTACCAAGCCACTTGCTCCTATCATTGGTAGGATGATGAGTGTCAAATACTACTACCAGTAGCTACTGCCAGTAGCAGTTTTAATTTTTGGCTTATTGCGCAGTTGCCCAACCATGGCCGGCGAAGCAACTGACAACGCTACACCCCTCCTTGTCCGCCCCCGTCAGTGGTGGCGCAACCATTGCACTCCCCGCTCATGGACCGCTTCTGTCCGCCTTAAAACCTCTCTGTCCTCCGAGCTCAGTGGCGCCGTCGGCGACTTGGGCACCTACATCCCCATCGTCTTGGCACTCACTCTAGTCTGCAACCTCGACCTCAGCACAACCCTCATCTTCACTGCCATCTATAATATCCTCACCGGCCTCCTCTTCGGCATCCCCATGCCAGTCCAGCCCATGAAATCCATCGCGGCCGTCGCCGTTTCAGAGACGCCCCACCTCACTGTCTCCCAAATTGCCGCCGCCGGAATCTGCACAGCCGGCACCCTCTTCATCCTTGGCGCCACCGGCCTCATGTCCTTCATCTACCACTGGATCCCCCTCCCGGTCGTCCGGGGTGTCCAGCTCTCTCAAGGCCTCTCCTTTGCCTTCTCAGCAATCAAATATATTCGCTACGATCAAGATTTCTCCACCACTACTTCCTCCAAATCCACCAGCCCTCGTTCTTGGCTGGGCCTCGACGGTCTCGTCCTCGCTCTGTTTTGTTTACTGTTTCTTATACTTACAACAGGAGACGGCGGCGTCCCTGAAGAGGATGAAGCGATGTTGAGGACCAACCCCGACGCTTATAATCGATTAAGAATTCGAAGGCATCGTAGGTTAAGAATATTATCAGCTATTCCAGCAGCTCTGCTTGTATTTCTGCTTGGTTTCATTTTGTGTTTTATTCGCGACCCTTCAATTGTCCATGAAATTAAACTCGGCCCGTCAAAGATTCACGTTCTGAAAATCACCTGGGAAGACTGGAAAACTGGGTTCTTGAGAGGTGCAATTCCCCAAATCCCATTGTCTGTATTGAATTCAGTTATTGCTGTGTGTAAATTATCGACAGATTTGTTCCCTGGGATGGATGTATCGGCTACAGGGGTTTCGGTAAGTGTTGGGCTGATGAATTTAGTGGGATGCTGGTTTGGCGCAATGCCATGTTGCCACGGGGCAGGTGGACTGGCTGGGCAGTACAGGTTTGGTGGGAGGACTGGTGCGTCAGTGGTGTTTTTGGGTTTGGGGAAGTTGTTGCTTGGATTGGTTTTTGGAAATTATTTTGTCAAGGTTATAAGTCAATTTCCAATAGGGATTCTTGGGGTGCTGCTGTTATTTGCTGGGATAGAGTTGGCCATGGCTTCAAGGGATATGAACTCGAAGGAAGAATCTTTTGTGATGCTGGTTTGTGCTGCTGTATCCCTCACTGGGTCCAGTGCAGCCTTGGGGTTCGTTTGCGGTATTGTGCTGTTTTTGCTGCTGAAGCTGAGGCAGATGGATTGCTCTAATTTTGGCTTCTTTAAGGCCAAGTCTGTATCTGTTAGCACAGAGGAGGAGGATCCAGCCCCCAATCCGTAGGAGTTCTTCAGAAATTTTCTACCGTCCGACCACTTGAAGCATTGTTGTTGATTGTCTCATAATCAATTTAGCGCCGTCTGCAATTATTGGGGACTTGGACAAACAAGTTAGACGGAGTATCTGAGGCAGTCTTAGATCATATCTATAGCTTTATTCACCATGGTTCATGTTCTATAGTATATTGTACTCTTGTTGTAATGTGATAATCTACTTGGATTACTATAATAATATGGACTACTCTCCTAGTTTAATTACTCCGGCAGCCTCAAACTACCAAATATAGAAACTGAGAAGCTGAGAAGAGGACTATTCACCAACTAAGCGCATTCAGAGTAAATTGGGATGGTTAAGCATGCGAAATCTTTTCCTGGAGCATTCATGGCTAGTGCATTCAGCTTAATTAAATTTCTTCTGTACAAAATTAGGAAATTGGCGGAAAAACTACTTTCTTTCAGATGTGTTAAAGCAATTCAACATATAGTATACATGTAGTCAGCGTAGGAGCATGCGGCAGTGCTCGATTTGTGCTGCAATCGGCATGTGGTTCACCTGTTTTGTTTGCATTCGTTTATCATTTTTTCTTTGGGTAGAGTTTGCATTCCTTCATCCAACTTTTAGAAACATTTTTGTTAAGTTCTAGTAAGTTCAAGCTTTCAGTAAATATTTTTCAGAAATGAGAGGGTTTTGGATTCAATTCCTTCCTTCCCCTTCCTCATTTCTTAAATCACACCCCTTGCTTTAAAAAAGTAGCAAGTTGGCTTGTAAAAAATTTGTCGATTCCAAGGACAGCGACTTGCAGTCTGGGGTTTTGATCTTGATGAAGATCTCATTTATTGGCAAAATGGGATGGTGAGGTTTTCTCTAATTACCTAATTTGCAATTACTTTGGAAGCTTGCTCAGAATCCAACTTGGTGCCAGTACTGACAACGAGAACCTCTATGACACAGTACCTTAAACCATAAACTAACAGGAACAATCAGGCCGGCTGATATCACAAAGATAGTTGACAAAGATGTTTTAGACTTGATGAAACTTACCATTAGGGTATCCGGCACTATGTTCTTCAATTCTGCAAAAAGCTGAATTGCTATGTCCGAATAAGATGTGATCTTTTTAGAAGTTCTCTTTTGGACTTTGATGCGACTTTATCTCTATATAACATGGCAGTCTGCTAACATTCTATAGCAAAACCTTCAGATAGTTTCCACCCAAAAAAAAGAAGGAATTTCATTTCCTGTAAGTTGAAGCCGAATTTGTTTTCAACACTAAAACAGAGAGGAGTTTAGATTATCAAGAATGGACTTCCAGTTTTCCTCTCACATTAGACTAGTTTTGCCATTCATTTTGGTATTTTTGGTTGGTGCAACAAGTTCATTATGACCAGCATACGAGGATTCAGAAGAGTTGGATGACCTTAAAAGGATTTGCAAGTTTGAACGCCTTGTGGAAGTCAAGAGAGAATGCTCCCCTGTTGTATCTTCAGCTTCAAACGCTCAACTTGGAATTCAAAAGTTCTATGAAATTGCCAAGGGTCTCTCTTTCCAAAATGGAGATTGGGTGCAACAGGCTAGTGGAGTACCACTGATGCCATTTGACTCCAGTGACATGCCAATGAACTTTAGTGGCAGTGGATCACTTCTAAAGCTAGCTTCGTTTTGGGTGATGGGATTTAATCTTTCCCATCCAAGTAACAATGCCATTGGCGTTTGTGGACTGTTGTCTATAGGCATTACGAGGAACAGCACACATTGCCAAGCATGCCGCAGACTTGGTATCTTATGTTTCATAAAAGCCCTGGATACTCTGTGCTAACAATTGCTTTTGAAGGACATTATGTTGAGTCTGAAGACAAGGGAGGGCAGGGTTTGATGTGCATGTTGGGAAATTCAGTATCTCCTTTTTCAGAAAGTCCTCCTGATTTTTCTACGTGGTCATTGAATTGTGGCTGCAAGAATAACCGCGAATTTTCTCCTGTCAAAGATGATCGAATTATGCTTGTTCTTCAATATCCTCAGAGTTTCACTTTGACCAGCGGGACAATAGTTGGTGACCTGAGAAGTTTGACCAGACGGTCAGACCCCAAATATTTTGACGACATCAGTATCGTTTCCCGGCTCAGTCATCAAACCTATGACTCCAGCTATCAGTTCATCTCCAAGAAGATTGTCTCAAAAGCATGCAACTCGAACTTGTACCAACACGAATTGTCAGACAAGAGAGGTGATGTATATCATGGGAACCATTTCTATAGAGTCCTTCAAAACTTTGCTTCTGAAAAATTTGATATTGCAGTGGAAAATTGCAACAGTAGCAACATATGTAAGAACTTGGGGCCTTTTGTACTCGGTGAGAAGGTTGAAAGCAAAGACAACATCTTTCATAAGTTTCGGCTGATGATGACTGATCTTCGTTGCATTTTAGGGGACAATATCAGTAAGCTCAGAGCTGCAAAGGTTTCTGCATTCTTTAGAGTCATATCTCCTTTGGAGGATGTTTATTATTCTGGGGCTTGGAGTTGTATCTCTGGAATGACCATCTCTGCAGAAGGAACTTGGAATCCTTCATATGGGCAGCTGTGCATGATTGGCTGTGTTGGACTTGAGAACGATATAAACAGGTGCAATTCTAAAATAAGCTTAGTAATACCTGTCACATTATCAATCACTCAGCGGAGCATTCTCATGGGCACTATCACTAATATTCAAGGGACAGATTCGTTTAGCCCTTTGCTTTTTGAAAAGAAAGTCCATCCTTCTGATATCTGGAACAGGTATCATGACTATAGCAGGTCTTATTTATCATACAAGTACTCCAAGATTGATTTGGCCAATGATTTTTGGATGAGAAGCAAGAAGTTCAACATACGCACCGTGGTTCATGATTTGATCTTCAAGTATCCAAGCACTGAAGATCGTGATAACTTGACTCTGCTGTCTTCTCTGTCCAGTAAGCTGTCTTTTCATGTCAATGCTCTCCCAGATCATAATCATGAACACAAATTGCCAGAGACACTCGTTTACTTCGAGATACTCACTTTGGGCAAATTATTTGGACGTTATTGGTCCGAATTAACAAGGCATGATAATGGGGTAGCTGTATTCTGGAAATCGAGATAATTTTGCTTTTACTCATGAGAAGCTGCTTCTGAAAGTGTCAGCACATCTCACCCTTAGTGGAGAAAACTATGGTCATATATCAAAAATCTACCTTGAGGGACTGTATGATCAACTTGGAGGAAAGATGTATCTTATAGGCTGCAAGGAAATCGACTTCCAGTTGCAGCATTCTGAGAGGTTTGCGTATGAGAATCTGAATCTTGAAAGCAAGATGGACTGCTTGATAGAAGTGATGATAGAGTACTCCCCCGAGACCGCCAGGTGGTTGAGAAATCCTACAGCTAAGATCTCAATTTCCAGTGCCCGGAATGCAGAGGATCCCTTGTACTTTAGGCCAATCAGGCTAAAGACATTTCTGATTCCATACACTGACAACTCAAAAGAGGTACGATTTCGTCGAAACTTTGAGGAGCTTTTACGTGTGTCAATACTTCTAGGCTCAATCAGTTGCCTATTGAGCCAATTATGGTACTTGAAGAAGAACGATTATGTCATTCCCTTCATTTCCTTGTTGATGCTGACCATTCAATTTCTGGTCTATTGTCTTCCCCTGGTCATGAATACCACAGTTCTGATCAAGGGGAGCGGATATCACTACCACAGCAAATATCCGTACAAGGATAGAAGCATGCACTTCAAAATGCTGGAAATAATCAAGAAATCCCTCCTCTTGGTCGCGGTTGTACTAGCTCTAAGACTCTGTCGAAAGGTATGGAAATCAAGACAACGTACTCAAAGTTTGTTATCACCTTTACATCACGGACCAAGGGAAATTCGGGTTTTCTTTGCAAGTGGGATAATTCACATGATTGGCGTTGCTTTTATTCTGGTGATTCGGGAACTCAAGATTGACAAAACAATGTCTGCAGCAGCTGCAAACCTCAATGCGACTGATTGGGAATCCATACTGCAAGAATACTGGAGCGTAGTTCAAGATTGGTTTTTGCTTCCCCAGATAATGGGAAACTTGATATGGCAGATACAAGTTAAGCCCCTGAGTAAGGTGTACTACATTGGATTGACCCTCTTAAGGTTCCTTCTTCGGACCTACGATTACATGAGAGATCCTGTCTTCAATCCATACTTCCATCCCACTGAAACTTGAAGCAGCACAGAAGTTTTCTCAAGGTTTGAAAAGATTGTGATCATAATGATAAGCCTATCTTTTTGCTCTCACAGCTCATGTGCAGCAGAGTGGATGCAACATTTTCAAAGTTTAAATAGAAGTTGAGTCTAGTCTACTGTAGGTGAATATGCAACATTTTACAGATCTCTTTGGTAGTCACTTGAAATGTCATCTGTATCCAGGAGATATTGGTGCATATTTACTTCAGTGAAATGTTTCTGTTACTCGAAAAAAATAAAATAAAATTGTGATGCATGTATCCTAATTGTCTTCTCCACTTTGCCCAAAATACTGCATGTTATTAGTAACGTTCAAATTTATAAGTATGCTAGTAATTTATTTACGTGTTCTTGGAGTACATTTTAATGTGCCTTCGTAAAAAAATATGGTTGAAACTTTTGAGAATTTTTTCACCAATATTTTCAAATTATCCTCGATAAATATATCCAAATTTCCTTATACTATATAAGACTGAGTTTTGGTCAAACAGAGAGTTGAATTTCAACCGCATAGGTGGGGGCATTTTGGAAATTTAAAAAATATATTACTTTTTTTAACCTTTTAGTACAACTGATTGCAGCATGTGTTTGGATGTTTTTATATTAAAATCCCCATGTTTGTACATTTAAAGCTTGTATTTATAGACACATCTCAATATTTGCGGAATGTGGATTAATTTTAGCGATCATATGTCTGAAATTCAGTCATTTGAAACAGCTTCTCTGCTGGTAATAAAACACTATTTACATTCCAATTAAACGATCAATAAATGTGGGTATGCTGCTAAATTATTGTTTGAGCATCTCTTTCAATTCTTCCTCCTTCACCTTCTTCAATTTTCTCCCTTTCGACTTCCGAACTTCTTAAGAAGCGATGCAGGACCATAGCCTACTGAATAATGGAAGGCAAAACTAACAAAGATAGATGCTAAAACAGTCATACGATTCCCTACTTTTTTAAGAAGTTCTTCCAATGCAGCATAAATAAATCTCCACGTAAATTATCAAAATACATAGATGTCATTATTTTTTTAGCCTTTACACTCAACGTTTCATAATGATTTTCAATTGAAGCTATATTTCTTTAGTATTACTTAATCTGCGCTATTATTTTATGTTTATTTTTATTTACTTGCTCACCACAAGTATCTAAAAAATTTTTCTTAATCACAAGTGCCAAACACCCGTGCAATGCGCAGATATTCCCCCTCTAGTTTTGTTGATAAAATTGTGTGTCATCATCCTTACAAACCTATTTGCTGTTTTGTGCTTTTGGTTGAGTTATTTTGTACCTACAACAACTTCAAATATTTCTATCTTGAATCTTGATGCACCTTATCCGTCTCAGAAACTCATCAACTTCGCCCGTAGATTCCGGGTCTATGACATGTGAGTACGAGTTTCTCCGCTGGACAGGATCGGAGTCAGACGCATCTGTTTACTGTTTGGGACACAACCCAGAATTAATTTGAAATTGTGACAAAAAAAATTATTTCATTTGCTTTGGATTTCAGACACACAAAATTAAAAAACCAAAAAAAAAAAAAAGAAAACGGAAAATAAAAAGTGAGATGAGAAAGAAACAAGCATAAAAATTGACCCAAAAAAAATTTATTTTTTTGTGCGATATAATAAAACATCGAACACAAACTATTTATGCTGCTAATCTTACAAAAATTTTTAGGGTTAATTACATTTACCTCCCCTGAGGTTTGACCATATTACCAATCAATCCCTGTAATTTGTCCAAATAACGGTCACACCCTTTGAATGATCAAACATTTAACAAAAACCCCTTTAATGCCGAAAATGCCCTTATTGAGGTCATGTTGCATTAAAAAAAGAACATATTTTTATTTTATTAACCCTGAAGCAATCCAAAAAAATAGAAAAAATTTTTCCTTATTATTTTATAAAAATCATATATTTGCTTCCATAAATAGTTTTGAATCAATAATTATTTTAAATCTTAAAAATGAATATTAAGAATTAGATAAATTGAAAGAAAAATAAAAAAAGAAGAAATTATTTTAATTCCTGAAGTATGGTTCAAATTGAGGAAAACATGCCCTGTGCTCTCCGCAACATGCCTTGAACCACAAATTCGAACCATACTTGAGAATTTAAAATAATTGCTTCTTTTTTATTTTTCTTTCAATTTATCTAATTTTTAATATTCATTTTTAAGATTTAAAATAATTATTGATTCAAAACTATTTATGGAAGCAAAGATATGGTTTTTATAAAATAATAAGGAAAAACTTTTTTCTATTTTTTTGGATTGCTTCAGGGTTAATAAAATAAAAATATGTTCTTTTTTTAATGCAACATGGTCTCAATAAGGGCATTTTCGGTATTAAGGGGGGTTTTTGTTAAATGTTTGATCATTCAAAGGGTGAGACCGTTATTTGGACAAATTATAGGGATTGATTGGTAATATGGTCAAACCTCAGGGGAGGTAAATGTAATTAACCCAAATTTTTATGAGCAAAACATTAAATACAAGCACTCCTAAAAGTCAAATGTGTTTTGTTTCTTGAGGTATGTAAAATATTCAATGATACGGAGATTATACAAATTCATATTGCATTTATCGATACTACTACTGTGATTTTACTAAAACTGCGTAGAGAAATAGGTTGACTTCTCAGTGTCACAATCACTCCTCTTCTTGGCTTCAAGTTCACACTTTCCATCACCAAATCGCTTCCCTATTTCTCAAGTCCACTCTTCTTCAATCCAAAGATCCAAGGATTCACCTCAAAGAAGTCCGTAGATGAAGAATCAAAGGACAACCCACTTCACAGGTAACTGCATCAATTAGTTGCAAATGCAAAGATCATTCAGCATTCAGACACTAGTCCTCTGATAATGTCCTTCTCGTGCTCATAATTTTGTTTTTGCTTTTCTTGATCATTTCTGGTACTATCATGTACTTCCCTTTGCATTTGCATCAGTAACTGCAGACTTATATTTTATTCGTATGGGAAATCGAAAGGAGGTATTTGTTGTGGTGTAGAAAATTAATATTTGGTTAGCGGGATTCTTTCAGATTAGAAGTTGTAAAGGAGTGCTTTGAGGGGTATCGTAATTTTAGCGTAAAGATGAAGTGTTTTGGAGTTGATGGTTGGATTTTAACAGGGTTGCTAGTTTTGTTGTGCTTTGGTTTTGCAAAAGCATACCTTGTTGATGGAGAGTTTGGTGGTAGGAGCAGGAGTGGAAATTCAATGACTTACAGATATGATAGGATGGATGAGGTGAAGAAAGAATGCTCCTTGGTTTTATCTTCTGCTTCTAATTTAAGACCTGCTGATGATATGGTTTTTAGTTTAAGAGAAGAGCTCTCCTTTGTGAATGGAGATTGGTGGCAGGAGTCAAATGGTGCTCCCATTATGCCATTTGATGATAGAGATCTTGCAATAAATGGCTCACTGAGTCTTGGATCTCCCTCAAAGTTGGTTTCTTTTTGGGTTACTGATGTTAATAAAGTTCGTCGATCTAAGAAATGGATTGGTGTCAGCGGTGCATTGCTAATGGGGATAACATCGGATGGATTATTTATGGAACCGCCCTATGAGGGAAGTCATCATTTTGATATGTGGCCTGGTCATTCTCAGCTCTCTATTTCATTCCAAGGAGTTTATACTGAATCAGAGAAGAATGGGGCCGAAAGAGTTATGTGTTTGTTGGGGCATACAGTGTTACCATCTCGTCAGCCTGAATCTGCTGAGCCATGGCCATGGGTTGAGGAATCTGGTTATGCTAATCAGCCCCCACTCGTGCAAGATGATCAAATTCTGCTTGTGCTTCGTTATCCGAGGACATTCACTTTGGTAAACAGAAGAATAAGGGGAAGCATGAAGAGCTTAAATTTG